ATCCTAAATTTTGGGTTGAAATTGACTTACCAACTGTATGATCCTCGTACTATCCCCACATGGATGTCGGTTCCCAGTGGTAGTTTTGTATGCAGTTGATATGCTGTGTAAGGTTCATTGCACCCTAACCACTCTACATCTTGGAGCACATCCCTTCTCTTACCCACAATGAGACATGCTTAGTTTGTTTTTTTTGCCAAAACTCAGTCATAGTTAGGAACAATAGCATAGAGGAAGTCACATGAATCACGTCTATTGATGGAGGTTTGTCGCATGATAATTTGCATGTGTGAATCAGGTAAACTGTGTGAACTAAGAGGGTATGTAGGAATAAAAGGCTTGTGGCATACAAAAACATTTGCAACTAGAGGGTAGCACTGAACGAGAATAGCTATGTATGTGAGCAGAAGTAAGTATCTGTCAAAAATATATTTTCAGTGTAGGAAAATTATAACATCTGTATGATGTAAACAGTAAGAAGAAAATATGACATAGTAACTAAATTAATTTTTCAAGTTTGAAACAAAGGCTTTAAAATCAATTATTATCTTCCTCTTAGTAAAATGAGGAACAATTTGCATTCTGTTCTTACCTAAAATGGAATGCTGCATTTTACCAGTGAATAAGGGATGGTTCTGTAAAGTACTTAACAGGGTAAACTCTAGATGTAATACTTAAGGGAATCTGTGTAATGTAAACAATAAAGTATGGTGTTGTAGTACCTATTATTTCTATTAAAATACACATTCCTATCATAACATTTTTGACAAACAACCAGAAACAATGAAATCAGTTACAAGAGCTTGCATGTCTTTTACTTAAATCTATAAAAAATATGAGTTAACTCTCTCAACACAGGCTTGTTCAATTTGACTGACCACATGACCTCTTTGTACTTGTTCAAAGTCATTATAGATTTGATACTACTAACTTCTAATAATTTGGCTGTCTTTCTGTAAACATTACACGTCTTTCACATACAAAAAATTCATATTTTTTAGTGAAGTGTTTTTAAAAAACTAAAAATAGAATTGTTCTTGAATATATCTAGTATTTGTTTTGAATAGTCTGTGTGCAAAGTTATTTTTATGTTAAGATTAAAAATACTTTTCTTCATACCAAAATCTCAAGTTTCATTTGTGTAATCCCTAAAATCTATTATTTATCTATTATTTTCTGTACCTTAACTCTATACAAGGTTGGTCCATTTCACTGACCTCATAACCACTGAAAAGAAAATTGCAATAAATCTAAATTACCCTCTTTTTCTTTTTAGAATTACTTCAAATGTACCATGAAACTCCATCCATTTATCCTAAGTAGCTTTAAACTTGTAACAGTATGCATCTATTTATAATTAAATTTTATTGTTTTATTGCCCTTTGAACCATGTCTAGCTACTATTCATGCCATTAAAAGTTGTAAATCACTTGCAGAACATGCAGCTTACGTTACACAATTGAATTACATTACCCACGAGCTACTCTGAGCTGCTTGCATGTGTGCCTCATGAAATATTTTTATATTATTATTATTTATTTTACCTCATCTAACCTTAACTAACCTAAAGAGATCCATATTTTT